TCTGATTGAGGTGAGCTGATGTGTGTTTGTATGCATGTTGTTTTCAACAGAGCTTTAAAACCCATATTAACCGTGTTGTGTGATCAATCTCGTCCTCATTAAAAACTGAGGGTTAGGGTTGTGGAAAGTAAGATGATAAGATGTACTCTCTTGGGCTCTCTCAATAGAGTGTGTCCTACTAACTAAACACTCTTGGACTCAACTCAACCTAAGTCAAGAAGCAAGAAATCCAGGAGTGATTTTTGAATGATTCGGATTTCAAGGCTCATGTGTCACAGCATTTTATCCTTTGAAGAACATCTCCAAAGTGAGGCCATTTCTCTATTTGAGCGACACAGAGAGAGACTGATTTGAGTTGTATAGAAAGGTGACAGAAATCAATGTTGTATAGAGATGTGTTTTTTAAGCTGGATATTGATCAGATAACACTCTTTATGTTTAATTTATGCGTTACAAGGCTGAGAATGAGTCTCTACATTTTCTGCAGGACCTTGGGCGAGAGATAGACCGACTCTGTTACTTCGTCGGTTTGTCTCCTTCGGCTGAGGAGAAGGAAAGAGTCACAACTGGAACGAAGTTTGACAATATGAAACAAGACAAAATGGCCAACTATTCCACTGTCCCCGTTATGAATCACAAGGTGTCTCCTTTCATGAGAAAAGGTACGATAAATGTCTGGTAAACAGGTTCCTTGCTCAGACCTTTTTAGCACCAAAAGCTGCTCAAACTGCTTATACTGATTTTATTAAGTGAATGGAATAATTCTCTCTGTTTCTCCAGGGAAAGTTGGTGACTGGAAGAACCATTTCCATTTCACTGTGGCCCAGAATGAAGAGTTTGATGAAGACTACAGGCGGAAAATGAAGAGTCCTTCACTGCGGTTTCGTACTGAAGTTTAGAGGCCTGGCCCGGCTGTGCATAATAAAGAGTTATAATAACAATAATGAATTGATAATAATGATTGATGTTGAGTCAGATAGTTTGACAGACAAGGGCATTGTCTAATCAGTGACACTGTCAGGGACATTTAGTTATGTCATCATGATGTTTCATCATCACAAAATAGCAAAAATGAAAACTTGATGAATGTCAGACATCTTGAATGTCCCTTTATTGTGTTTGGGAATTTACATTATGTCACCAGTTTGTGGAAATTAACCATTTATATGACTGTATTTTACAATTCTTGCACTAATAATCTGAACGGGCCAAAACTGACTGGGCGATCCTATATTAGGGAATCATCGGGTAAGGATTATTTCATGAATATC